TAGGCTATGATCATGTTAATAATTAGGGTTAGGTTAAGGGTTAGCTTCTTGCTTGAAAATAATAAAATACAAATATTGTATTATTATTTAGAATAGTGGAATCTGGAAGCAACTGTTATATTTACTGGCAGATGAAACTTCTCTAAGTCTACTCCTACTATGTATACTCATCAACTTTATCATTTTGCTTCTCTCATAAAAGTATTCCTGCCCAGAGTGGCTGCCTTCCAGAGGACTTTTGGCCATTTTTCTCATGACTAGGGTGAAAAATGTTTCTGGTATCCAGTGGTCAGATGGCCAGATGCTGCTCAGCATCCTGACATGCACAAGGTTGTCACCACCAAAAGCCATGATGTGTGTGGAGAGCCACAGCCTCCGCCGCCATTACAAGATGGCGCCGGTATCCGGACCTTCTTAACAGTAAACATCCTGCTGCGCCCATAAGGGGCGTGCACAAGAGCCTGCTCTCCCTCGCCTCCTCCCGTGGCGTGATCTCCAGCAACCAATCCGCTTCTTATACGTCATAGATGGGACCTTTAGACTATATAAGCAACCGCTCTCCCGCTTCTCGGCGTCTTTGGTCTTTAAGCTTCTAAGAGTGTAAGATGCGCATACAATAAACTGCTGCAGAAGGATCCTGACTTGTCCTCCCGCGTCATTCTTGCCGGCGAGACGGAAAGCGGTCGGGGACAAAACCCTATTGCTGAAGACACTGCATGATGTGAGTGCAGGAGAGGGAGCAATCTAGCTTGGACTAATACGGAAATTCCCTGACACTGGATGGGTGGCTTTCACAGTGCCAGAAGGTGATATGCAGATGACTGGGGGAGAATCATCCCCTAAATTTTGCTCAATGACAGACCCTGTGTGTTGCACTATCAACATACCAAACAAGATGTTCCTGCTGGTGCAATAGTGGAGCTTCTAGTGTATGTACAAATACACTAGCAAATTTTCAATTGGAAATAATGCCCAGTCCTAGAGGTGGAACACACATCTGGTACTGCAGAACAGGCCAACCCCCTGTGGCAGGGGAGAATACAGGCCTCAGTGGGAAGCCACTGCAATTGTTTTGTTAGATAGATGTGATGTACCTGCTAAAATACCATCTAAGTATTTGTGTTTACACCCATAGGTTAAGTTATTATAGCAGCCACTGTTTACATGTTCTTGTTTCTTGCTGTTTGTGTTTTTATAGTAGATGGAATCCCACTGAAATAGGCCAACAACCTATAGAAAACAAACAATGCAGAGACTCAAAAGTTCAGTGCCTTGCCACAATGGAAGGCTACCACCCCCTCCCAGGCTCAGGGACTTTTGTGGAAGAGGTTGGCAGAAAGAATGTAAGAGCTGGAGGAAGGCAAGCTACAGTTACACCTCCTTCCCATGCTCATTAAGGAGTGGGGGGGGGGAGTCAGTTACCCCTCCCACCCAATCAATTGACCTTAGTTCCAAGTGGAGGAGGGGCTAAGGATTTATAAGCTGAGAATCCCATGAGGCACCTCTCTCGCCATTTTGTGAGGCTGTTGGGAAGTCAAAGGATCTATAGTTGAGTGTGGACTTTCCAGCGCAGCCATAAATGGGGGGGGTTCCCACTCTTCTGTAAATAAACCCCCACCCTATGCTCTGTTAGCAAGCCCAATAAACTAGCTAGGATTTAAAAAAAAAAAAAGAAAGAAAAGAGCTAATGGAAACCTTCATTATTCTACCAAAGTTGACCCAATGTTGGCAAATCCTTTGATTTTTGATTTTTTTTTTTTTTTTTCGGTCTTTTTGAGACAGGGTCTCCCTGTGGCTCCAGCTGGCTGGAGCTTGCTGAGTGGACTGTGCTGGCCTTGAACTCACAGAGATCTGCCAGGCTCTGCCTCTCAAGTGTTGGAATTGAGGATGTGTGCCACCACGCCTGGCTTTGGTCTTAGATTTCTTATCCCTACTTTCTATCCTTAAACTTCATTGCATATATATTTTTATGTAACCTGCTTCAAGTTATTTCTGGAAAAATGTGTTAAAAATTGCCTCTCTTTGGAATAATAAAAATATTCTTAAAAAATATTTAAGCCACAATTTAAGAAGCATCGTTTCAAGCAATATGTTCTTATAAAAATAAAGGTAAGGAGGGGGGCTGGAGAGATGGCTCAGTGGTTAAGAGCACTCACTGTTCTTGCAGAAGACCCTGGTTCAAATCCCAGCACCCATAAGGCAGCTAATAACTGTCTGTAACTCCAGTTCCAGGGGATCCGACAGCCTTTGTCCTCCTTGGGCATTGCACAACATGGGTGCACTTACATGCAGGCATAACACTCATACACATAAAAAATAAAAATAATAAAATAATTTAAAAAAACAAAGGCAAGGAGTAATCTTTAGAGAAACAATTTATTTTGTTTGTTTGTTTGTTTGTTTGTTTTTAGAGACAGGGTCTCACTGTGTAGATCCACCTGCTTCTGCCTCCCAAGTGCTGGGATTAAAGGTGTGTACCATCATGTCAGGCAAGAATACATTTTCTAAAAACAAGAGTAGTTTTTAAAATAAAGCTGCTAGCATACTATATACTATACCATCAGTAACAGATGCAGAATATTGGCGGTTTGAGGATGATCATGCAAGCAGGGTTTGTTTAAGATTTCTGAGTTCTCTCCTCAACATGCTTCCCATGGAAACCTAGACAGGTGTCTTCACTTTCTCCTCTGAATGAGTATACTGTTTGGTGAAGAGGATGCCAGTGTTTGTCTATGAAAATGGTTTGGCTGGGTGGGGAGAGAACAAGCCTCCACACAAAAAAATGTTTCTCACATACCAGAGAAATGGACAACATTAGGAGAATGTGGAAAGAAGGCAGGTGGCATTTCACTGGGTCCCTTAGTATCTTCTGAATTATTAATCTTGTGAACTAAATATGACCCACTCCTCTCTCCAAACACTAATGTATCATATTTAGTGCACATAATACTTATTTATTTGTGTGTGTGCACATATTCATGTGTATGGGTGCAGGCCAGAGGCTAACTTCAGGTGTTGTTCCTCACACACCATTTACCTTTACTCTTTTTAATTACACTTTTATTTTGTGTGTATGCATACATGATGTGTGTGGGTACATATGTACAGAGGTCAGAGGACAACCCATAAGAGTCAGTTCTCTCCTTCCATCACGTGGATCCTGGGTCATTGGGCTTGGCAGATACCTTTACCCTGAGCCATCTCCTTGTTTTTGAGACAGGATCTCTCGTAGGCCTGGAACTCTCCAGGTGGGCTGGGCTGGTTGGCCAGTGAGCCCCAGGGATCCACCTATCTCCACTTCCCCAGCTCTGGGATTATAAGCACATGCGACGATGCTTGGCTGTTTTTTTATGTGGATTCTGGGGATTGAATTCAGGTCTTCAGTACTCTGCTGACTGAGATATCTCCCCAGCCAGACTTCTTTTTAAGACAGAGTTTCATGTATCCCAGGCTGGCCTCAAAATCACTATGTAGCTAACGAAGATCCAGAACACTTGGTCCTCCTGTCTCTACCTCCCAACTTCTGGGACTACAAACGTATCCTATCACACTTGGTTTAGGCAATGTTGGGTCCCAGGGATTCATACATGGTAGCAAACATGCTACCAACTGAGCTGAATCCCAGTTCAATTATTATTTTTTAATGAAGGAAAAGGATGTTAAAGGAATCCCTCTATCCATGGCACATGGCTTACAGTGCTGTACTTCCTGGCATGAGTCTGCCTCATCTACACCACACTGAACACTGGCTAGGTCTGCCTGGTTTAAGGCCTTACAGCAGGCATGTTAACATAGTGTCAGGCATATTTTAAGGCTCAATGAATACTAGCTGATTAGAGCCGAGTGTGACCCAAGTCTTTATTCATATAAATTTCCTTTTCTCACCTTTTCCTTTCATACCTCCTAAGTGAGAAACTACATTTCAAAGCTGGATTTCTATTTTCCCTCTCTCTCTCTCTCTCTCTCTCTCTCTCTCTCTCTCTCTCTCTCTCTCTCTCTCTCTCTCTCGCTTTTTGAAACAGGTTCTCACATAACCCAGGCTGGCCATGAATCAATGTGTAGCCCAGGCTGGCCTGAAATCCTGACCCTGCTCCCATCTCTGGAGTGCTGGCATTACAGGCATGTACCACCATGCCTAGCTTGGGTTTCTATCCTTTCTATCTAAAGACTTTTCTATCTTTAAACACCTTTAGACTTTTCAACTTGGGTTTCACTGGTAACATCGTAGGGACCAGAGGTTGTACTTACTTGAGGATGTCTTTTAATAACAAGGTGGGTCTTCTCATCCTGTTCTGGGAGCGGGTGTACCATTGCAGGGAGGTCCTTGGGCAATCACTTCTCAGCTTCGCAGAGTTGTACCCACTTGGCATTGCTGGGGAGAGAGAAGAGGAAAGCAGGGAAAGAGAAGCATTAGGTGGTTTATGCTTTAGGGGCTCAAAAAAGATACAGCCACACTGCAATACTACTGGGCATTAAAAGGAATGAACTCTTGCTATAACTTAGATGAAACTATAGGGAGTTAGGTTGAGCTGATACTGAAAGGTATGAGTCCTAACAGTCTTCAAAGGACAGCATTATAGAACTAGAGAGCAGATTAGTAGGTGTCAAGAATTATGGAGAAGAGAGGGCCTCTGGGTACATGCTATAATCCCAGTACTTGGGAGGTTGAGGCAGGAGGCTGGTGAATGCAAAGCCAGCCTGGGCAACATAGACTGTCTCAAAAAAAGAGAAGGGGTATGGCACCTTCATGAGGGATCCTGAAATGACAGAAATATTCTATATTCTGACTGTATCCTTGTCAACATCCCTACTGTACAGTACTATAGTTCTGCACGATGCCACAGTTGGGGAAACTGAGTGAAGGACACAGAGAAACACTATGAATTATTTCTCACAACTGCATGTGAATCGACAATTATTCCAAAATTTAAAACTTAAATTTTCGGGGGTCAGCAAGATGGCTGAATGAGCAAAGGTGCTTGCTGGAAAGTCTGATGACCAGAGTTTGATCCCTGGGACCTACATGGTACAAGAAGAGCAACAACACCCAAAAGTTGTTCCCTGACCTCCACATGCATGTGTATGAACACAAACTAATTAATATAAAAATGTTTAATTGTTCAAAAGGCCTACACAAAATATTTACAGATGACACAGCAGATACAAGAGCTGCTTAAAAAACAAACCAACAAGAAGAGGACAAACAGAGGCCAAAGGTAGAACAGCGAGAGTGATGGCTGGAAACTGGAGGCAGGAGTGTGGGGTCTATACTTTGACTTGTCCTGTTGTGTCTGCTGACATTTTCCATTAAAAGATTTTTAAAACTTTTTAATAACTACATGATTAGAAGAAGCATTTCATATTCAGTTACATATTCAGTAACACACTCCAGAGCAAGAGTACACCTCTATCACAAATGGCTGTAAGTATCTAGGTTCACAGTTGAATTAATACAGTTATACAATATTGAACTCAGTATAAGGCCTGTAAGACATAAAATTAAATGAGTTTTTAACCTTTAAAAAAGATCTCCATTTCATTTTAGAATATAATATTCCTTGCAGAGAGACTCATTGCTACAAACACTGAGGTGTTGGTACATGTATCTCAAATCTGTATGTATCTGATTATTACGAGTAATAAGAAGTTGCACTTGGATCCTTGGCACCTGTGTATGTCTATAAAGTCATCGGGTAGATTTCAACGGTAATGTTTATCGCCTCTACCAATTAACATGACATAAATTTCCATGCTTCATACTCAAATACATTTTAAAAAATTTGATTTTTTTTTTGTGTGTGAATATCACACAGAATATCCCAAACCATCTTATTCAACTATACACCCACTTCCGATATGGAAACCTCCCATAGCCTCCCTCCCTGCACTAGAGCCCTTATTCTCTGATAACCCTGCTACTGTCTGCAGTGTTGTCAGCACCCCCAGCCATTCCCCACTACTTGTCCATTTGGTGAATCTAGTCAGCCTATCTAGAGGTCTTTGTTTTAGGAAGGTCAGCAGGATTCAGTTGTCAATATTCCTTTAGATAAGATTGGGGTCTGCAGTTCATTTTCCCAGTTCTATGCTGGGTTACTATCTGGGAGTCCCTTTGGCCACCATGGCCAAAAACTCAAAAGAAGGTATCTCCTATCTGGCACTGTTGCTTGTTATGTAGCCTTTAGCTATAATATGGACTCTTAAAATTAAATTGGCCCCTTTAATCTTTGGTTATACTCTCCTTTTGGGTGTTTAAAGCCATACAGTTGGCCCAGATAAACAATTTATTTTTACTCTTAAGGTCATTTGAGGATCTGTTCCTCAGGAGTCACGTGGGCTTGGAGGAGGCCCTGGATCCTTTCTTTTACCAATTCTGTCTATGTGAAGATAAGTCAAAGGCCCTGCTTGACCAAAGCTGGCTTCACTTGGAAGCATGGAGGAAATGATTCCTCTATGTTGACCCTCCTCTTTATAGACTGGACACTGGTTCAAGTCCATCTGGTGGGGTCTCCTCAGCCTCCTTGATCAAGAGGACAGGTGACTCACCACTATTACAGGACATTTTGAGAGATGCTCATAGTCCCCTGGAACTAGTTGACCTAGAAGGGCAAGGAGCAAAAAAGTGTCCTTTATGTCCCTCTGACCAAATTATTATAGGTCTCAAAGCATGTCTGTTAAACACCCAAGAAGGTTAGTTCCACCAGTCTGGTACTTTTAATTACTGTGTGTCATGTAGATAAATCTTGGGCAAAGACCAATTGTTCTCAGATAAACCTTACCTAGACATCCATTTCTTGATCTGGTATGAATAATTTGTCAGTAGGTTGTTGGAGTAATATGGTTCCCTCTGGGTTTTAAAACTACCTAGGCATTATTTACCTCTCGCACTATCTCATCCCTCCATCATGGTTTCCCCAATTAAGGTGATCCAATTTCCCCCCTTTTTCCCTTACAAATACCCTTCTCCTATGGTCCTACCTCTATTGAGCTCCTTCTTTCTCTTTATCCCCTAGGTTCCTTGTATACCCTTCCCTCCCCCCGACCTTAAAATAACCCAATTTTTATCCATCTCTCCCTTATTAAGGCCTGTTTCCTACTGTTTTGTCTCTTTAAGGTTCTTTCTTTTCCTTTACCTGCCTGGTTCCTTTCCATTATCCTGGTTCCTGTAGTTATGTCTGGATACATACTCACCAGGGTTTGGTTCTAGGATCCACATATGAGGGAGAACATATGTCGATTTTTTTCCTGAGTCTGTGTTACTTCACTTAGTATAACAGTTTCTAGTTCCATCCATTTACCTGCAAATTTCATGTTTAATCTTTCTTTACTGCTGAGTAAAACTCCGTCTAAATGAACTACATTTTCATTATCAACTTGTCAATCGAGGGACACATAGGTTGCTTCCATCTCTTAGCTATTGTGAAAAGAGCAGCAACAAACAAGGATATACAAATGTCTCTGCAGTAGGATGAGTTCTTTGGGTATATTCCAATGAGTGGTATAACTGTGTCAAATTGTAGGCTCATTTGTAATTTTTTAAGAGTTCTCCACACTGCTTTCCATAGGGGTTGAACAAATTTCCAGCCCCACCAGCAGTGGATGAGTGTTCCCCTTTCCCCACATCTTCTCCAACATTTGGTATCATTTGTTCTCTTGATCTTAGCCAGTCTGACTGGGGTAAGATGAAATCTTAAAGTGGTTTTAATTTGCATTTCCCTAATTATTAGTGATGTTGAACATCTTTTAAGATGCTTCATAGCCATCTGTTCTAGTTTGTTCTTCATTGCCATGACAAAATACTCTGACCAATACCAACTTGGGGAGGAAAGGGTTTATTTGTCTTACATCTCCCAGGTCGCAGTTCATCAGGGAGCCCAAGGTAGGAACTCAGGGCAGGAGCCTGGAAGCAGGAGCTGGAGCACAGACCATGGAGGAACGCTGCTTACTGGCTTGCTCCTCTGGCCCCTACTCAGCCTGCTTTCTTATGCAACACAGGCCCACCTGCCCAGGGGTGGCACCAGCCACAGTGGGCTGGGCCCTCCCACATCACTCATCAAGAAGATGCCCCTCAGACATGGCCACAGGCCAGTCCAATAGAGGAAATTCCCCAATTGAGGCTCCCTCAACCCAGTGTCAAGTTGACACTAAAGCTATCCAGCACACCATCTTTACTTCTTTTAAGAACTCTCTGTTCAGCTCCTTAGCCCATCTCAAACCTCTGTCAGATGTGTCACTGGTGAAGATTTTCTCCCATTCTGTGGGTTTTCTGTTTGCTTCCTTGGTTGTCTCCTGTGCTGGATAGCTTTAGTGTCAACTTGACACACCTGGGTATTACCAATGTTTTCTTCTAACAGTTTCAGAGTTTCATGATTCACATTCAGGTCTTTTATCCATTTGGAGTTGACTTTTGTGCAAGGTAAAAGATAGGGGTTTAGTTTCATTCTTCTACAGGTGGAGATCCAGTTTTGCCAGCACCATTTGCTGAACATGCTGTCTTCCCTTCAGTCAATGTTCTTGGCCTTTTGTCAAATATCAGGTGGCTGAAACTGCATTTACTCATGTTTGGGTCTTCAATTTTGTTCCATTGATCTAGGTCTATTTTTGTTCCCAGACCATGTTGTTTTTTATGACTATAGCTCTGTAATACAGCTTTAAATCTGGTATGGTAATCCCCCCGGCATTGCTTTTGGTGCTCAGGGCTGCTTTGGCTATCCAAGGTATTTTCTGCTTCCATATGAATCTTAGGATGTTTTTTTCCAAATCTGTAAAAAATGTCATGGGGATTTTGATTGGCATTGCACTGAATCTATAAATGACTTTTCGTAGGATGGTCATTTTCACAATATTAACTCTTCCAATCCATGAGCATGGGAGGTCCTTCCATCTTCTGATGTCTTCAATTTCTCTTTCTTTAACAATTCAAACTTTTCATTGTAGAGCTTTTTAATGTCTTTGGTCACATTTACTCTGAGATATATTTTTTTTGCAGCTATTGTGAATGGGAGTGTTTCCATGTGCTCTTTCTCTGATTGCTTGTTAATGGTATGTAGAAAGGCTATAAGACTTTTGTAGATTAATTTTGTAACCTGCCACTTTACTGAACATGTTAATAATTTCTAGG